GGCCGGTGGCCGGTGGCCGTGGCCGTGGCGGTGCACGCTGGTGGCCGTTGGCCGGTGGCCGTTGGCCGGTGGTCGTTGGCCGGTGGTCGTTGGCCGGTGACGGGTGGCCATGGGCCGGTGGCCGGTGGCCGGTGGGTTGGCGGTGGCCGCCGGCCGGTGGCTGTGGCCGGTCGCTGGAAAGATCCATTGATGGGCCGGTACTGCCGGTGGCCGGCGGGCGGAATGATCCATGTGTGGTGTCAGCCAACCCCGTGGCAAACGCTTTTGCATTGAATTCAAGGGTGATTTCACATTCCTTCTCGCCGCATAGTGGATGGACTAGGCGGTGGCCACCTGATTCATACCCCGGACCCCCGGCCTATCTCTGCTCCTGCATGATGATTGATTGCGTGATGGGCAGCTTGGTGATAGAAGGTGGGGCTTCAAACTCAGGCGCAAGCAGAAACCAACTATACATAACACGCTTGGCTCGTGTATGCGCGCGCGGCCTGCGCAAGCCATGTACAGATAAGTGGTCGGTCGACCGGCCGACCGGGTCCCTCAGCCAGCGGCCCATTTTCCTTTTTTGCAGCTATAATGTTTCGAGTCAATCATCGTGCACTATCGGCCAGTCGGCGGCGTGGAAGGCATAGGTGCCCTCACATCAGAAGATGCACGGGGCGAAGGAGCCCTCGCGGAAGCATTCGGCGTCTCTTCAGCGCCAGAATTTGCAGGAGGCTTCTGCTCTCCACCAGAGCGGTCATTCCACAAAGCCCGCCGCTTTGAGATGTCCCGGATGCTGAGCCTGCAGCACCTCATGGCTTCGTTGTGGTATTGAGTCTGGTTGCCTGTGTTAGAAGACCAAGCACGGAAGACCACCATAGTGTCACCCGCTCTTCCTCCAGCGGGCTGCAAAATGTAACCAAGACGTGGAAATAGCTCAAAAGCTTTTGTCAAGACTTGCAAAGCCTTGCGACTGGGAGAACAAGTGCAAGCAAGTTAGGGATAGTTAGGGCATATGTAGGCCACAGAAAGCCACAGCGACCAAAGAAAAGAAATGAACAAGCAAATTCTTTTGAAAATATCTGAAGAACATTCCCCTGACTGGGCCGGGCTTTCCGTCGCTTGCCCTGGACTTGCTGCACCACATGGTACGAGTCAACCACCTTGGACATTTTGATCTCGCTGCGCCCCAACAGCAGCAGTTTCTGGACAAGCTCGCGGTCTTTAAGAATGCCATCCTGGGAGGAGAGGAGCATCGAGCCGTTGTCGCCCAAGCCTTTCTGGAAGAAAATGTCCTTCGGGTCCAAGTCGGACAGCTTCAGTGGGACAATCTCGTGGGGAAGCACCTCGAGGGGGCAAGACACCAAAGAAGAACATGTTCACACGCTTGCGGGATTTTGGCAAGAACATTGGACTGAAGCAAGCGAAAAACGTTATGCATGGCACAGCGTTCATGTCGGCCCCGCCTCCTCATGACATTCGGCTTCTGGGAAAGGCCCAAGAGGCACTGGCACGGGCGTGTGCTCTTCGATGTTTTCCAACGCTGCTACAGCAACCGCTTGCGCGTCTCCACGTGGCCCCTGGCGTTCACCTGGAAGATGAGCAGGAGGTGGTCGCGTAGGCGCAGGAGCAGCGAAAGATTGTGGGGGGCAAGGCACTTGCACGGGCTGGAAAGGTTCATTGTCGGACTCGTCCGAGCTGGCAGCTGTGATCTAATGGGCCCCGCAACACTTCCCGGACTTGAACGCTGAGCTCGACAAGCCGCGCAGCCACCTGTCAAGGGGAGCAACTCTATAGTTTGCTTAGCAAACACGACTGAACGTTCTAGAAGTTATCTTCCTCAACCCTATAGCCAGTGTCCCTGCAGACAGGGTGCCTGCACATGGTCCTTCGTACTTTCCAAATTTCCATCGGTGTCAAAGGTGCCCCCACCACCAGCCAACTCCAAGATGGCGACACTTGCGCTCAGCATGCCTTGCATGTGAGCAGCGTTTGCGCGCAAGGCCTCCAACGGTGTGCTCTCCTTGCCAGACGCACGGATGGATTGCGCCACTTGGTTTACTGCGTGTCTGTGAGAAAAACCGGCGCGCAAGCGCGCGAATCACAAAAGAAAAGAAAGTCCAAAGCTCCCAGGCAAATATGCAGTCAAGGCTCCCAGCAACAGTTTCTGCGCTTCATCTCGGATAGTCAAAACTGAATGCGGCCGCTTCTCGAAGTGCTCACAGACCCTGCGCGCTCCAGCGCAGATGTGTTCTGTCTGGTCCTTGACAAGCCACCGCCCACTAATCCCCCACTCAGTCCGCACCACCGCCGTCTCACCTCAGCTGTGGCTGCGGCACACAAGCAACATGAAGGAAACAACCCCACCCCGCACCGGTAGGGTGCGCAGCTGACCGGAAAACGCTTGATTCAATGTAGCTGGAGGCAAAGCTGTTGTCTCTTTGCTCACATGAAAAAAATGCAACGTGAGCCGAGGAGCCTCTAGAATCGGCTTCTTCGATGTAACGAACTCTCGACCTCACCCGTCTGGCAACACAGCAGGGTAGCCTTCATCTTCTGAATCGTCCTCTGGCTTCTCGACCCCTTCAAAATGCTTGGGGTTGTTCAGCAAGCTAGTCCACCGGAAGATGGTCGCTTGCAGCGGGGTCAAAGGCAACCAGGTCCAGGCTGGTACATCACCGTTTGTTTCCAAAAGGTCTTTGGGCACTTTATCGTGCCTTGCCACAGACACATCCACAGCAAAGAGAAACCTTTCCCTTGTAGCTGCAGTGTGTCCACCTTCCAGGCCCCGCTCCATGCTGATGAGCTTTGCTGGATGGCCATTGCCAAGGAGTGACAAGGCAATGCGCTGAGCCCGTGAGCTCCCGTAGGAGGTGGATGTTCTCGTGGCCCGCTTTGTTTTGCCGCGCTGCACAAGCGTGTTCAACGTGCTTGCATGAGTATTCACGGCGCCAGACGTTTTGTCTCGGTCATGGCGGGAACCCAGCAGCCCTATGTTCTCTAGGAACTCGTAGCACTCGTCTAGGTTGAACGCTTGCCCGTACCACAACCTGGAAGTTGTCTTTTCCTTTTTCCCGCCAATCTCCACCTGCGGGAACTCCACGGAGCACCTGTAGAAGAACTCCGTCATCGTGAAGCTCTGCAACGAAATTGACTTGGCGCTGACTTGCATCTCTGACGGCGGTTGATAACCTTCTAGTGGAGGCGCCAGTTTGGTGGCGAGCTCATCTGCTGCCTTTTTGGCGAGCTTTGCCACAAAGTCATCAGCAGTTTCAAAAAGGAGTTCAACAGCTTGGAACAAGCGAGATTTTCCTCGTTGAGGGGGCGCCATGTGCAGGACCAGCAACATCAAGGGACTTGGCTTTTGGCTCCAAAGACGCACGCTGGCGCCATTCGACAAGGCAGGCATTGCCCCCGCAAACATCATCACGGTGGAAAACATTCCTTGGCAAGTGGAGGCAGCGATGGGCAGAAGAAACTCGTAAACTTTCTTGGGGAGATGTTCTGCAGCATTGAAGTTGTCCTTCACCACATCTAAAGCAGCCCTCCACAAAGCATCCACTGCCTTGTGACTCAGCTCTTCCGGGCTGTGCGTCGGCATGGTTGGGTGCCCCTGTGAAATGACAGTGTAGGACTGAAGCGCTATCAGTTTACGCGCACATTCAGAACAAATATCATACTGTGTGAGCGCGTGTGTGTTTGCTCTCCTGTTTGCCCAGAACCCGGGAGCGCTGCGACATGAACAAAGAGCAAAGATCTACGCCAGCCGCATGAATCAACATATCAACACAGCCTTTTTTTGAAGCTCGAGGAGCGCAAACGCCAGCCATGATCCTGTCTGCTACATGAAACAGCATGAAAGAAGACAAAGCGCACTGTAGTCTTTTCCCGCCAGCGCCAAAATGCAAACATACTTCACCTACCAGCAGCCTCAGCTGCACTTTCTCGCCTGCGCTTCTTCTCTGCGCCCCGCATCTTGTCCTGCAGCGCTTGAAGTCGGACAAGGTTGTGGACATCTGCTAGCTCTTGCAGGGCCAACTGAGAAAACCAAGGCCCGTAGTGGTGGAAACAGTGGCCCAAAGGACTCAATTGTGAGTTCACCGTTTCAGCTATTTCTGTTGGGAAGCCACTCAAAATGTCTTTGTTCTGCTGCAGGCTTGGGAGGCAAACCTCCTTGCACCACCCGCTCAAAGTTGGCCAATCTTTCTGCGAGCGGAGAACCCTCACGCTGCCGCAGGCACATGGCTTTCAGGTGGCAGCTGTCATCGTGAACGATGCATCTCAACGAAGGCAGTCTGTGCGCACATTGCGCAGTGAAGTGGTAACGCTGCGAGAGGGACTCAGCTCCGATAAGCTCCATCACGTCCAGCAGGAGGCCAGACTCTGTGACAGCAAACAAAAATCCAGCAGTCCTTGCTGCCGCATGGGCATCCTTGGCCGATTCCTTGTGGGTGCTGCAGGTGCTAGTCTGCCGAGGTTGAATCGAATGCCAAGGGGCTAAAAAAGTTATTGCCCGGCGCGGCCGAAATCCTGCCCACTTCTGACTGCGAGCCTCAACTCTCCGCTCCCTTCTTCTCCTGATGTTTCTGTCAGCTTGGGAGGCAAAGTACTTGGCCAAGGCCTCCTCTTTGACTGTGCACGCCGGCTGCCAGCCACCGTGGCCTTGCATTTGGATTTCCAGGTGACACACATCTCCCTGACTGTGAAGCGCTCTCTTGAGCCGATGTCTCCCCACTTGCTCTGCCCTTGGCTGTTGTGGGCGGTCCCTGTCACCTGCATGCTTGCAGCAAAGAGTGTCTCGACCATGGGGCATTGCGCTGCAGCCTCGCAGCAAAAGTTTGTTCAAGTACGGGGAAGCGATCACTTCTGCAAAAGGCATTCCACACGTGCGTCTGTGGAGCTTGCAGTTCCCGTCAATAGCCAGGATATCCTGCCTGTCTCCTGCAGCTTCCATCTGTGCCCGGCGCCTGGCATCAAGGGCACGTGGCGAATGACATGACACAAACTGCGGCGCTATCACTACGAAACAGAGAGGGAGCAGGGGCCCATTGAAAGCAAGGAGAAGAGTGGGTGAACGTGCCATTATAGAACATAAAGCAGAGGTGCCAGCCCCGCCTTGCAAACATCAGTGGCTCGTACCAAGCCCAATTCGTTGCAATCAGCGTCTCAATGGACGCATTCAAGACACTCTTGCGCAAACCATCAGACACGGCGGCGCCAGCTTCAACAGCTCGCTGGCAGAGGATCTCCCGCGCCCAACCGTCTCGAAGCTGATGGCGGATGTGGTAGCGGACGTTGGTGTTTGTAAGTCGCAGCAGCGCCCCTTCTCCCTGAAAGCTGGCTCTGTGCGCAAACATTCTGTACCGCCAGCGGCGCAGCCAAGACGTTGCCAAACCCAGGCGTGAATTGAGGAAGAAATGATCCGGGTCAGGCAAGTCCACCTCTTTCCTCCACGTGCACCGCTGCTTGTCCCGTGGTACACGAAAGGCGACAAAGCCACACCAGTACGTCGCCACCTGACAGGAGGCCGGGCAAAAGCCAGACAGGTGCCAAGCCTTGAGGAGAGCTGGTTCTGCTATGATTTGAGCAGACACACCTCCAGTCTGGCCTGGCTTTGCCTGCTGCAAAGGCTGCTGGCAGTGCGGACAACTGGTTCGCTGGGAGGTCACGACCAAGAACGAGCGCTCCATGACGCCACAGATGCCGAGTAGAAAAGAAAACCTTGCTTCTTGCAGTAAGCTGGCGGACAACTTTTGTATGTAGAAGACAGGCGAAATCTAGAACATATGTTGCCAAGGTATGGTTGATCTATTTCGAAGGATGGATTTGGAAAATTCTGAGCCATGCAGGGGTCAATGAAGAAGCAACACCCTAGCTGACAATCACCATGTTTGGTCACCTGCAGGTTCTGTTGTTTGGAATCTCAATGTGCACCGGCCAATGATTGAAGAACATGCATACGTATACTCGACATATCATATCGCCTTATCGCCATATGTATCACCATTCGATGTCGCCGTTGCCTCAAGTGACCGGTGTTGTATATAAAAGCCGGACTGTGGATGGCCGGCGCCGGTGTGCCTCGATGGCAAGCATGAGAGGCAAACCCAATGACCGTCGGCAGGTGACCGGTTACTGTGGCAGTGACTGTGGCGGGCATTGACCGCCGGTGGCCGTGGCCGGTGGCCAGTGGCGGTGGCCGGTGGCCGTTGGCCGGTGGCCGGTGGCTGTTGGCCGGTGGCCATTGGCCGGTGGCCCGGTGGCCGGTGGCCGGTGGCCGGTGGCCGTTGGCCGGTGGCCGTTGGCCGGTGGCCGGCGGCCGGTGGCCGGTGGCCGGTGGCCAGTGGCGGTGGCCGGTGGCCGGTGGCCGTTGGCCGGTGGCCGGTGGCCGGCGACATAAAATGACTATAGTGGGCGCAGTGGCAAAGGCTCCCGAAAAGTCAAGGCCATCTCATTTCTGAGCTGCGAGCAGGAACCACATTGGCCCGTGGGAGTCGCTCCAAATAGGCAAGGCCTTGATGCTTTCGTCGGTCCAAACGACGTCTTTCGTCCAATGGGTCCCTTGATGCAAGTCCAAGTCTGACCTCTCTGCCCAGTATAATGTCTTAAGCCCGAAGTGATCCTGCACTGATAAGAGTGGCCACGGTCATTTGTCTTCAAGTGTCCCGAAACTCAAGGCCATGACGGCCATGACCACTTCAGTCAGTGCGGCTTTGTCGTTTTGAGGCTTTCTGTTGGTCAGCATCCGAGGTCTGCAATCCAACAAGTGGGCATTGGAGCAGCATAAATCTGTGACTCAAGGTTAAATACTTGAGGCCAAGGGGGGGGCGAAAGCTAGCGCTCCAGAATGGGAAAGTGGAGGGCAGCGAGGTAGGAAAAAACACGGCGCTCTTTTTGGAGGCAGGGGTGAAGAGTCCTTTATATGTGGCTCTTTGCCCGGATCCTCCTGCGAGAGAAGAGAGAGAAGAGAGACGGAAAGACGAGAGACAGAGAGGAGAGAGAGAGAGAGAGGAGAGAGAGATGAGAGAGATGAGAAAGAGATGAGAGAGATGAGAGAGATGAGAGAGAGAGAGAGACAGTGAGACAGTGAGACAGTGAGACAGTGAGACAGTGAGACAGTGAGACAGTGAGACAGTGCGCGAGTGCGGCCGCAAGATACGCAACGCTAACCGCATGCCAAAGAGCGACGACAGGACGGAGTCGAACTTGCGACGAAGAGGGAGGAGGGAGGGAGGGAGGGAAGGTGGGAGGAAGACAAGGAGGAGGAGGGGATGTGGGGAGAGGGGAGGTGGGGAGAGGGGAGGTGGGGAGAGGGGAGGTGGGGAGCGGCGGGGGGGGTGCTTCGACCTGAAAAATCAGGGGTTAGGATTTGCACCCGGTCGAAAGAAACCTTGCTATCGCAAGAGTAACTCCAGCTAGCTTCGCTAGCTTTCGTGATAATTCTTGTATATTCTTGTAATCTGTTGTCAGGCGCCTAAGAACAAAAACGGCTGATCAATCCGCTGTACTCAGAGCTTAACTTCTGTTGAATCCTTGGGCCACAAACTAAGCGTTCTCCGTCAGTAAATCCAGCACCAGAGGGAATCAAGTCGGCATCTTGAGTCACCTCGATCAGTCGCCAAGTGAGGAGGAACAGAATTTGACGCATAAAGAACAAGGCACTGACTAAAGAATAAAGTCCTTGTGTGTTCGCCTAAATGATTAACTAACTTAGGCTAACTTGCATACTTTGGCTCACTTAGGCCTCAGGTCGTGGCCTAACTACCCGGTTCCACTACAATCAAGGCGTCACCTTCTTCAACAGCACGACATTTTCTTCAAAACAGTCAGAAGGCTTTTTTACCAATGGTAGGAAGCCCCTGGCGACCAATGCCTACAGCTGTGACTTGATGAAATGGCTAAGTTGCTTTCGGCATGACGCTAAATCGATCGACCGACACATGCAGATGATGGACAATCCAATGCTAACGCAGTGCCTCATTCTGTTTGGAATCAAATCCAACAAATGTGGACATAGACATGACATGACATGACTCAATGGTTCTTCCCTTCCGTAATTCAGTTGCAGGCTTGCTTCAAAGCCACCACGATGGGAGGCTCATCAACCTGATAGGGGAGGAAATCTGTGAAATTATATAAAAGAATTAGAAATTAGAAATTCTATTCACACGTGCCTGGCTAATGCGTGAAAGCCGTCGGCGTCCGCCGCTAGAGTCTGGCAGGGCAGACGACAAAAATGCAGCTTTGCCAAATTTGTATCTAGGATCTCTTTGTTGGACAAAGCACATCCACCCGCGTGAAAACCCTCCACAAGCTCTTCCCAAAGCGGAAGTGTTGCTGACTGATATCCCAATGCGAAAAGCATCTGACAACGCAGCACAGTGTAATCGATTTCCAAGACTTGCCAAGGGTTGCATGGAAATATGCCACTCTCCATGCCAAGTTCCAGTAGAAGCTGCCTCAACGAGAATGGTCATGCTGACAGCAGAATCATCTGAAAGCCAGCACCCCCAAGCAAGCTTGCGGCGCGTTATTGACCTGAAAAACTCCAGAAAAGGCTTTGGTCTCAAAAGTTCAGGGACGCACTTGTCTGGACTGGCTTGCGTGTCAACTCCGCGAATTTGCAGCTCATGCCTCAGCGAAGGAATTTGCGGATTTTCGATGTGGCGAATGTGCGAAAATGTATTACTGTGTTCCGTCACGAATGGACGAGGACACTTTTGGGACTCTTACACATTCAAATCCTGTTCTTTAACAGTTTTGAAAGCTAGGATCAACTCCCATATTGTAGCATTGAGAGCCTAGCTTTAGCTCTCTGGCAGACATCTGCTGCCTAGGTGATCCACACAGGTGTGAGTCTGATCGATGCACTTCAAAGGGCCTGGGGGGTTCTCGTTCAGTTGTCAAATGAAGAAGAGACCCTTACCTTTTCTAAGTCAACAGCCGAGAAGAAAGCACTTGTCACTTCTACTTGCTTTTTATGCTGTCATTGCAGGTTGGTATGGCCGAATCATTGCAATTGTTCGATTCTGGGGCCCAATGTCTGGCTATGGAGAGACTTCTTGAGGTAATTGATTCAAGCAGTGTTCACCTGTGCGAAGGAGAATGCCCAAGCCTGACCTGCTATGTAGAAACTTCTCTAGATTGGCATGTCAATAATCAAGTCATGTGTATGTGTGTATGTGTATACAGTATATATATATATACAACACACCGGCTGCTCCTTTCAAATCGTCGGCTTGGGACTCCAGCAGCCGCTCAGCATTCGAGCGCTCAGCAACTGCTATGTTCTTAGCAAGCACAATGCAGTTGGAGGAGTCCCAGCTGGTTGGAAGAGGAGTCCCATGTCTTTCTAAACTCCAAGGTTCCAAAGCTCAAAGGAAGGCACAATTTCTGTCACTCTGCTTTCACTCTGCTTTTTCTTGCACTGTGCAATTTGTGCTGAACGTATAGGTGCCAAACTCTTGAAGAGTCACCAATGCTGCCCCGGGCAATCTTTTTACCTGCCAAAATGAGGTCTCCAAAGACCATGTGGCACAGCAGGGCATGTTGACGTCTTAAAGACTGCTGCCTAACTTGGTTCGCTTGCCCCACACATCATCCCCATCTCATCTTCTCCCCACCTCTTCGCACTCGTGAAGCGCCAATGAAAAGGCTTGCGCCCAGGGCCACCTGAAAACAAAGGAGCCTTTTTACTGGCGAAGGAGATCAAGGGTGCACAGAAACGTGCGAGACTGTGAGACCATCCATGCATTTATGGACTCAGCCAACCATCTGAGTATTTACAGAAATGAATATGCAAGTGATGTTGATTTTCCCATACAATCCCTGTAAGCTCCTTACTACTACAGCATTGCAAGATGCAAACAAACGTGTGCTGTGAGTCACAACTTGACAAAGCGACACTCAACAGCATTTGAGTCAAACAGGCTCAAGAAAGAGTTTGACAAGAATTGTAGTTGCTTAAAGGCCAGATGTTTTCATCCGTTCAAGAGGGGTTCCCTACTGCCATTGCCTGGGAGGCCATGCTTGCAGCTCTGAGGCTACCTGCACAAGAGTGACGTGTCCTCATTGTCTTATTGTCTGAGCTGGAGTTTCAAAACCAAGTGTTCAAAGAAGTGTGATACCGATTGTCGCACTGTGTTTTTTCAGCAGCACTTGACATCCAGCTCTTTTATCACTATACTTACAGCACATACTCTCCGACCACTCATATGCAACCTCTTGCGCCTATGCTTGAATCATGACACTTGGTCCAAACGCACCAAATAAGTCCCAGGCAAGCCCAGTTTCGATCAGCATTCTGCACCAGTGGGGATTGATGCACTGCCTTTGGAGCTCCACAACGAAGGCTACTGTAGTGTGAGACAAAGGCATGGGCATGGAGCATGGGTGTGAACTCAGCAGAAAGCAAAAGAGTCGAGGACAAGTCGCACAAAAGCTGCTTCCAGGCAGTTGAACAAAGAGACAAAGTGCCGTGGCCAAGCAGTTCCTAGAAGGCTTCCTGTGAAGGTTGCTTTTTGTGTCACGGCGCTGAGTTTCTGGCCGCCTCAGGCACAACAAATGGTACCAGCGCCATTGCCGCTGGACAAGTTGAGCTCTGTAACTAAGCAAGTTGGCGATGCTGTTGCGCATAGCGGTCTTCGGTGGTAGGATTCTATGCCACACTGTCTTTGGTGGTAGGAGTGCTGTCTTTGGTAACATCCATATTGCGGTCTAAGTTCCGTGTCCTGTTTGTGAGTCAGTGTCTGCCGTGTCTTCAACTCCAAAGTTAGGTGGTACTGCAATGTGTTTCTTCTGCATCAATGAAGCATGTTCCACAAATCATTCACCTTGAGTGGTCAAGCAACCTCAGAGCACATCTGACACGGGCCTTCTAGAATCTAGTCTCTAGAGAAATACTCATTAATTACATACAAGCATCAATATACTGACAATTGGGATGCCATGCTATTTCGGATAAGTCACCCGCCAGGATCGCTACACACATTAAATTCTTCCCAGTGATGCATGCGAAATTCTCCTGTTCCAAGTACAAGCGGTGGATGAGACCTCATGTCAAGTCAGATTAGTAATTAGGGATGCGCAAGTCAAGCTTCCAAAAAAAGCTCTAGGACCTTCTCTAGCATCATGTTGCAGCACCCCGCTCGCAAATCGAAATTCAGATCTTTTCTTTCTCTGGAGCTTCAATCTTGTGCAACTCAGAAAGCTGTGTGGCGTGCACCTCAGCTCAAAAATGCTCGACAGTCTGAGAAGTGTGGGCCATGGTTTTCCGAAAGATCTTGCTCGTTTAAAAGCATCCATGAACCGTTCGCAGCTACGCGAAGGACCAAAGGTAAGATTCTCTTCTATCTAGAAAATGAGCTTGTCAAAGGGGTTTTCTCCAAATCTTGTCAAAGGGATTTGCCTTTAGGAAAAGCTTTTAGTCCTCCAATGTGCAAACCTGAAACCAAGCAAGCAACCGAAGCCACCATGAGATGATACCACTCATGTGGGCTCCACACACCAGCGAGTACAGGGAGTGGCCCTGATTCCTGCACAAATGTTCGTTTGCAAGGAATGACTTGACATTCACTGCACGGAAGCCATATATAACGTATCCTGGCATGCTTTCGTACGATTTCAGCGTTTTCATCTTTCCCTCCACCAAAATAGACTGTCTTCCTCGCTTGCTCACCTCGGCATCAAAGGCGCCAAAGCGGCGAAAATAGGCAAGCGCCAAGGGCGGCCCAATTGAGGCCTGGTCAACAGACTCAACAGCAGTGGTCGTTTCAGGGCATGCTATGAATGACTTTTGAGCCTGAAAAGACTCATGAACTTATTACGTATTTGTTACTAGTAGCGAACATTGCTCCTAGTAGTAAGGCCAGGAGCCCCTAGTAGCGTCCTTGCTCCTAGTAGCGATGCCAGGAGCCCCTAATAGCATTCTTGAAAAAAGAAACCTTCCAGTAAGGCCAAAGCTCTTCAATGGATCCTTGTCATTCAAATTGGCTTTGACATCTGTATTATATCGACAGCACTGACGACATTTGCTCTTTACAGTTCTTTCCCACTGCTACTAAAACACCTCGGGTGTTAAAAGAGCGAGAACTGGACTCTGAAAGTGCACCACTTCTGCCCCGGCCAGCACTCGAGGCATGGTTCGCATTCTCCGCTGCGCTGCCACAAGCATTGCGAGCTGCAATCCTAGCTGCATGCCAGAGAAGCCCCTCAATGCCACAAGCATCTCCTGATAAATGCGCTCAATCTGAAGCATGTGAAGCAAGAATCTAAATCTTCATCGGCAGTGAACATTCTGAACGATGTGCTTCCATGCAAGGGAGTCGGATCTTCGCCAAAAGGTTGCCAAATTTACCTATTCATGAGGCCTGCATTGTGGTTTCTTCGCACGAACAAGCCCTTGTCCCACATTGTCCTGCTCTTGGTAAAGCTTGCAAAGAAGAACCACAGTGTAGAGAAGACAATTCAGCAGCGCTGCACCAGCAAGAATCTTGGAGTAGAAGCCCTGCAAGATGCAGTTGGCAAGGAGCAGCCAATCGCACTGCCAGCTTTGGTTTGTGTTTTGCACTTGGTGTGATCTGCTTTCAACCACACCAACTTTTTGCGCTGTCATTCGTCATTGCATTCATCGATGCAGAATGGCCAAGGCAAAACCTCAAGAAGTTCAAGGAGCTCCCTTGTGTCCCCCAGATACGGCTGCACACGACATCCATCACGGCAAGACTGAAAAAGCATGCAAAACTTACTCCTGCAAGTCCCACTCCCAAGAGAAGATGTGGCCAGTCAAACCAGCGCAAATGCCAATAAAGTCAATGGTCAAAGCACCTTGGAAAGCTGTGCACTTTCCAGATGTTGAAAATCACAGGGGCAAGCAAATTTTAGCTGCAAACGAACAAGGTGATCGATCAACCAACCCGTTTATATAGATGAAACCAAAATCTGTCAGAAAAGTCAAGGCAAAGGGAGAACAAGTGCAAGTACTAATACGGATACTGATGCCGCAGCTGGATATGCATTTCCTGTGTCAGAGCCAACCTGGCCATGAACAGAATGTCCTCCCCAATTCTTCCTCTGTATGCAGGTGACTCAAGCTTAGACACATTTGGCACTGAAACGAAAGTGTTGGCAAAATCATTAATATCGTCCAGGACGGGAGACACACTGTTCGAATAAACTATCAAGTTAGACATCGAAGGTGCAGAGTCTCTGAGAGGTGCGAACTAGGGGATGATGGATTGCTGGCTCAACAAACCTCTTTTGGAACAAAGTTGTGGGGCGACGGCTTGAAATGATTCAAATTGATATATATATATATATATACCAGTTTTATTCCCCGAGGCTGGCCTCCAACCCAAAAGCGATGGCCTCCAACCTAATAGCGAGGGCTTGTTGGTGGGGCTTTAAATGTATATGTATATGTATATATATATATATACATTGTTTATATTCCTCCCTCGTTCTCCCTTCCTCTCTATCCATGGTACGCTGCTCCCAGTTGCGCTGCCCCCATGGGACGCAGTGCAGAAATGCTGAGCAAATGCAGCCTGAGAGGCGTTGCAGTTAGCTTTTCAAACAATCTTGGCTGAAATAACTTTAACGCTGTCAAAGCTATTTTGTTTGAGGTGTCAGTTCAGGTGCCGTTTGCGATCTTGGACCATAGAGCAAATCGAACAAGCATCTGGGAGGACCAAAGTGTGCTTAAGTTGCACTTCAAAATCGACACCTGGAGTAGTTACACTTCAGTGTCCGATTCTTCTGCTCCCGAAAGCTGGTTGCCCAGCCTCCGCAGGTGGCGACCATCATCAACCGCAGCCGGGGTTTCTTTCGAACTCTCCCTGAAGCAGTGAAGTGTGTAGTGACAGGGCATTTGTGCAGGATTTGTAGCTAAACTGTTGCGAATTTGAGGGAGTCTTTGCGCCAACCAGGCCAAGTTGCAAATCAAGTACGGAGCCATCCTCAGCAAGAATCAGTTGCATAGCAGTGAACAAATGCTCAAGAGGCTTTGCACTTCTCTACACCACTGGGCCACTGGGACGAAAGATGTTCTTTTTGACGGCTCTAAAGTGAAAACCTTTTCACCGTAGAATCCTGCAAGTTATTTACTTTACCTGATACGGTCGAATTTCCTCCCTCCAAAGCCGTTTTAGTCATAAATTTAGAAAAGGGTGACAATTGACTGTCCCACACTGGCCACGCTAAATAGACTTCCACATAGATGTTGCAAAAACCGGCAGGAAGAAAAATTATTGTCTTCCCCTTGAAGCACGCACAACAATGAAGACAAGTCTTGCCCAAGGTTTCTCGTTGAAGCTGGACTTGCGTGCGCTTGCTGCATCTTCAAGCAAGCCACAGAGTTTTGGCACTCTCTCCATCAATCTGGCCAACCCTATGCATTCCATCAATACCTTCGGGCGCTTGGATGATTTTCCTAAGTCGGTGGCAAGCAATGTTACGATGTGCAGGTGCGGCTTTTACATTCTGGCCCACTCCGACCCGCGTTAGAGCCTCTAGCGCCAGGGCGTTTCGGTGTGGCAGGACTGGGGCTTTGGCGTGGCCTCTATAGAGGGCATCCGACCCATTTGCCGGGCCGTTCTTGCAGGTACTGTTTCTAGGGGGTCCGAAAGCAACGCTAGACATTGTCGCCAGTCGCTCTGCGCTGCATTAGGGCCAGGGTGTTTCGGTGTGGCGGGCCTGAGGCTTTGGCATGGCCTCGAAAGAGGGCATCGGGCCATTTGGCGTGGCCTCTAGAGGGCATCCGGCCATTCTGCTGCTAAGGGGGGTCCGAAAGCAACGTTGGACATTGCCGCCGGTCGTTCCAAGCTGCATGAACCTCCAGGGCCAGGGTTGCTAGTAGACATTGTCGCTGGTCACTCCGAGCTGGTTCGGTGTGGTGGGACTGTGGCTCATCCGGCTCATCTTCAACTACTGTTTCCAGGGCTCCGAAGGCAATGTTAGAGAGTGTCAGCCTTCCCAGTTCCCAATTTTTGGTCCAATTTGCCTGCTTTTTTTGATGACTGGGTCGACATCCCAGAGTCCCCAAAAAAGGCCTCTCCCCACCAGGTTCAAGGACCGTTTTTGGAATCGCTCCAAGAACAAACACGGCTCGAAATGCAGGCGAGAGCAAAATTTTTAAAGCTCGATTTCACAAAACACCGTAGGGGGGGGTCCCGGCATCGGGAGCACCCCCCGTAGCTAAAGCATCGCCGGAATGGGCTACCCCCCTTGTTGTGATGGCCGGGCTTTTCCACTTACTGGCGACAATGTCTAATGTCGCTTTCGGGCTTTTTAGCCCCCTAGAACCAGTACCTGCGAAAAGCAGTCTGGCCTGTGGGCATGGCCTTGAGGCCGCCAAAGCCTCAGTCGGCCCTACCCCCATTTCGAGACACAAAACGATTATAGGACCGGATAACCCCACATGGGAACAACTTCGAAAGATTGAAGCTGCAGACATAAGGTGCTGAAGAGTGAGCATGGGGAAGAGACAGGCGAGACAAATAGAATGCGTAAGGGTCGGTGTGTGTAGGTGAGGTGTGTCTTTGATTGTATGTGCTTGTCCGTGAGTGTGTATGAGTGTGTGGGTGGATGTATGCTGTATGACGCTTGTGTGCATGTAGGTGTTTGTAAGGTGTGTGTTTGTGTGTATGTGTCTGTTCATCAGTGTGTATCTGTGTGTATCCGTTTGTGTGTATCTCGTCAGAGAGTCGGTCGTCGGAGACGAACTGGTCCAAGTGTCCTGAGCAGGAAGATGCATACTGGTCATACCGATTCATATGGTTGACTCATACGGTTGACTCTACGTAGCTTTGAGCTCCCGTGAACGAGCGCAGGCAACGACCTCGGAGGCGACTAGGGAAGACAAGATCCCAAATGCACCGAAAGACACCAGGTGTACAAACCATGAAAATTATCTGCAGGTGGAAGCATGTTTTTCTTTCAACACGCACTTATCCCATCGTTATCTAGTGACGGCCATCACGCTGTTGAAAAAACCGTGTCTGAAATCGGCAAGTCGCATCAATCAGACAGAAGCAAAATTATACATAGATTCCAAAGTTTCCAAAGTTTCATCTCTTCATTCTGTAGCGATGGCCGTGCCACGAAATCTGCGCCGGTGCCCAGCCGACGCTAGACGACGCCAGGGCGTACATCCGACCCCTGGGCAAGCAGCAAAGTGCTGCGCCTGCCACGAAATCTGCGCCGGTGCCCAGCCGACGCCAGACGACGCCAGGGCGTACATCCGACCCCT